CCACATCCATATCCACACCTTTATTACAACACTCTACAAACACATCTAAATATTCAGTAGATTTTCATGACAGGAACATAACACAAATAGAGGGCACAGTGATGCGCTTCGTCTTGTTAGAGTTCGAACCATTCTTTTTACAGATGTCAATGAATATGTTTTTTTTGTTTCAGATCAGACATTTGTTCATTTTTCGAAAGTATATCCAACTAAACTAGCAGTTGTTTCTTTATATATATCACCAATAAATCAATTTGCAAGGATAAAATGTTAAACAACACTAGTTTTAATAACGATTTGTTGAAGAAAACTACGAAGGACGTCATCGAAATCCTAAAACTCAATTACTATGAAAACAAACAACAAATTGTTAATGATATATTGGAGAATGGTCAACAGTCATTGGTCAAATATAGAGATGATATCATCCCCAAAATCTACAACGAAGCAATGAGTGACAGTAATAGTCAATTGATTATCTTATTAAAAAAATATTTTCAAGAGAAATGGGAAATGCAATATGACGCATCTCATAAATGGTTTATTTCATTTCTCAAACAATATGAAAGCATGGGGAATCACAATGCATACGAACGTGTTTTGATTCGAACATCTAAATACGGAAACAAATATATGAAGGATTGCCCAGTGTTATCAATTGTTTTACAAATTCTTTTTGAAGGTATTGACGATGAATGTTTACAGGAAACGAATGTTTTCGATTCTCTATGGTTCACAATAACCAATGATGGTTTAAAATCGATAACTAAATATTCTGAATATATCATTAAAAATGTCATGAAGGAACAATTGAAAAGTCAATCAATATTATTTCGAGCATTATCTGAATATCACCGCGAAAATGTGTTTTTATCATTAAAAGAAAGCAAGATTGTAGATAATGGAAATTCATATAAATTGACTTTGGACGATGTTACTGAACACGGTTGGTTAACGGACGTACAATCTATCAAAGATGATGTCACACCACGATCACACAATATGCTATTGGAAAAACTTCATTCTTTCCATAAGAAGGCAGAGTCGTCACAACAAGAAGAGTCGAAGCCAACACAAGATGCTCAGAGAATCGAATTTGTACGACCAGAGCTGACTTCTACAAAGAACAATAACACAAATGAAAGTAATTTCACTCTAATTGGTAACTATGCTAAGATGTTTTCAAACAAAGTTATTATGACCACTCACAAAAAAAAACTGCTCTAACTGCGGATATTTCTTTATCACAACTGTATAATTGCATTACTACTCTAGAAGTAATATAAAGTTAAAGAATGATTCTATGTAATACGAAAATAGTATATAACTTTGTATCTGTGTTTAAAATTAATAGTCATCGCAATGTTGTAGAACACGATTGTAAAAAAATGATTGAGTATCTGAGCAGAGAAAAGTTGATTCTATGAGTTTGAATTCCGTTTAAAAGCATTAAATCAATATGAATACTGAATAACATAGGTACTGCATTCTAAACTATTTTTTTTAGTGTGAAAATAGTCTATTTATTCGTCTCTACCTATACAGTCTGTATCTGATGAGTTTGTTTATCATCAAAAGATGTGATAACTGATTATCATCGATTCAATGTCAATTTACAATATTGAGTGATTTATTAAAGCACCTTTAATCAAGAAAAATGATGCATAAATTGTTTCTTGAAATATATTCCCACCTTTCTGCTCAAAAGATGAGTTCTTTTTACAAGAGAAAAAAATGAATGCAAATTGTTGATTCCAATTATTTCTTTTTTTTCATTTCTTTCCAGACGATGAACCGAAGTCTGATCAATCTGATGATTCAGACGATGAAGCTAGCATATCTAGCGATATCAGTTTAGATGCTTCGTGGATATTCATCGAAGATAAAATATTCATCACTGGTTTACCATTTAACATGCCCGCAGACAAACTGTTTGATGCACTTCGGAAAGTATTTTCTAGTATTGGCGAAATTAAGGTAACTGAAAAGAAAATTCTATAACACGCAAAATATTTGTTTGATTGTTTGGTTGCTAGATTCGTAGAAGAACAAAAAATCCGTTCATCAAGTTATACACACGAAAAGATAATAGATCTCAGCTTAGTGGAGCAGCAACAGTGCAATTCAAAAACAAAGAATCAGTCCCCAAAGCAATCGAAAAATATAATTGTAAACTAGAACGAGCTGCTATGACTATGAAAATAATAAATGTATTATCTTTTTCAGGGAAACAAATACCAATTTTAAATGATTCTCAAATAAAAGTTCAAATGGCAAGAGCGAGAATTTGTAAAACGAAACAACTAGTGGAAGGGTCACAACCTTCAGCAAGATCAAAACAAATCCCACGAGAAGGTAGCAGATATTTAAAACAGAAAATTGGTTGTGAATGAGGCTTTCAAGAACATTCAAATCCGCCCACATTCACACCCATCATCCGTTCTATTTGATTGAAAGATTATTAAAATTGTTAGTTGAAATGATATATGTTTATGTTTAAAGTATCTAATGACAAATCAGAGAGATCTCACTCAGCACTCTTGTTGAATGATCATAGAATGATTCCATCTTCTTTCTCAGATAAGCATTAAATACTAGTAGTAACAACAATGGAAAAATCTTCCAGATTTTTGACAAGATTTAGAACATGATTTTATCAATATGATTATCGCTAAGTTGCTAGACGACAAAAGCGATTTAATGTAAAAATTATACAGCTCCATGAGATGTAGAATTAAATTTTCCCAAAAATTTTAGTATAATCTGAGATAAGATTTCAGCTACTTCCATTGCAACGAGATTCTGAACTGTCTGTGTCTGTAATGAGTCATTCATTTAGAACTAGAAACTTAATCAACAACCAGATCCTAATAAAGAAAAGCATTAAAATGATTCAAACGTATCTCTATAGAGCTTCAGAATATAATTTTATTGTTATAATTACTTCGCATAGAAAAAACTCCAGTTCCACAAGCGGTGGCAACCTCAGAAAATTCAATATTTATAACTGGTTTACCGAAGACAATGTCCGAAGAACTTCTTTTCCGTACTCTTCGAGATGAATTTTCTACTGTTGGTAAAATTGAAGTAATTAAAATGAAGATTCTAGAAAATGGATTTTTAATTCTGTGGTTCCCATTTTAGATAGATAAAACAACCAAAAATCCGTCCATTTATTTGTTTAAAGAAAAAGATAAACCGTCCGAACTCAATGGTAGAGGTAAGATCACATTTCAAAAAGAAGAATCGGCAAAGAAAGCAATTGAAATATATAATGGTATGTTAAAATAAATTTTAATAAATAAGATAACAATGTATGTGTTGTCTTCGTTGAAGGAAAACGGATTAAAAGTTTGAATAACTCTCAAATCTATGTCAAGAACTTTCAAGCAAAAACTCCAAAAGTGTTGCCACCGACGCCGGAACCAAAACCTCCAATATCATTAATGCAAATCCCACAGGCAAGCGGTAAGCATCTAGAAAAAAAACAGTTTAATTTTGGATCTTTTGCGGTCAATCTTAGATAAATGGTCTACTAGATTCATGAGAAATTCCAGAAGACGGTTTTACGAAGATTATTTTCGATATTTCACTATATAACAGGAACGATTTGACGGAGAAATTCGATAAAGTTCTACAGGAACAGAATTTTGATATGTCCAAGATCTCTGTATGGTTTGAAATAGGGTCTCAATAACTTATAACTCCAATACATTTACGTGTGAGTGCAGTTTTTAATGAGTCACTGATTTCTGAACTAAACCCACACTCACTCAAAGGAATTCGATTATATCTAAATAAAACTACATTTCTACAGGATCTCAAGTAGACTCCTAGAATGTCGACAACGATTTGAGCTATACCTGTTAATTTTATCGATATAGAAGAATATTTTTGTATGATTTAAATAATTTCTAATTAAAAGTATTGAAAAATGGCTCATCTTACAAATAAAACAGTTAGAAAAAATATTTATTAGCGCTCTACACACATTTAAAAGTCTGTAGTTGAAGACAAAAGTTTATTGAGAATTTGTATTCTTACATAAAATCGAACATTTCTTTTTGTAAATTAGTAAGAGATGTCAACGAAATTTAGCATGCATAACTATTGGTTCACAATTTCAGCAGAGTATGAAAGAAAAATTTGAGTGCTATTTAGATATCGAAATTCTATGACTTTGAAACAGATATTTTAGCATCAATAGATAATTCATCATCTCAGTCGCATGTAATATTATTTGAACCTTGAAAAAATATATTTTCTATTGTCCGAAATTGATCTACTTGCTTTCCTTCTTACTTGTAAGAACATAATCTTATGGATCTTATCGGAGTTGTCTATCACACTAAACATCATTTAGAAGGATTTACAGAATTCTCTGTTGCCACTGATAGAACAGTTAGGATCATCATTAGATTAAAAAGAACAGTAGTGTTATTTAGTGAAAGCTTCAATAATCCAAGGATATGAAAAAAGCTGCATTGCAAAAAGCTTTGCAGAAATGATGTAACTCTCTTTTTCTTTCAGTAAAATTTACCTATCCATTGTTAATTTTGTTTCAAAACAATGAGTAAGATCTCATTCAAATGAAATATCCTTGATAAGCTTCTATTCAATCTCTGTTGATATTGCTCAATTAATCAATCTTTTTTCTTGTCTTAGACTCGCGTCAACCTAAAGGAAACGTTAATATCCTTTGGGATATCGAAAATTTGGCCATTCCTGCTGGACGAAATGCCTTTAATATTGTCATGAAGCTACGGCAACAGTTAATAATAGAACGAAACATGGTCGAAGGTAGTTTCGCAGTCTTCTGTGACGTCACAAAACTACCGAAAAAGCATCAAGAAGATCTCCATCATGCTAATGTAGATATTCAGCATGTGCCAAATTGCAAGAGTGTGATAACCGACAAAGCCATTTACAAAGCTATACAATTATTCAAACAGCAGCAGAAGACATCCGCCACATTAGTACTTCTAAGTGGAGACATCGATTTCATTCGATGCATAAGTGAACTTCGATTTAACCATAAACATTATGTCATTATTGTTTACAATGCACAAGCGAACGCCAAACTCTTAGAGGCAGCTAATGAAGCTATTCCTTGGAGCGAATTCACTGATAAGCCTGGAGCAATTACTCTCACTAACCTAGATTCACCAAAACCCAAGCTAAATCCAGTGGTTCCGGCTACGGACAAAGCTGACACTGATGAGCTTAGCTCAAATACTCCCAAGAAGAGAAATCGATCGAAACCCAATCCTAATAAAATAGTATTGGCTCCAGAAAAAGTTGATGATGCTGCATCAAGAATACTTTTAACTAGTGTTCTTCCTTCAGCTGTTAGTCAAAAACTTGACGTACAAGCAAGCGATGGAGATTCCACACGGATTAATCCAGTGGCTACGGAAATGTTTAATAAGAGAGCGAGGCGCAACAGAAGAAGACAGTAAGTAGTCAAAATCCGAAGTCGTAAGGATTTCTTTTAAATATCTAGCGTAGCTAAATATTCATTGGGTTTTTTGAACGAAAATTTCAAATTCCAAATCATCATTCATAGAACGAATCGATGTGAACCTCGCTATACGATAGCATATGATTGAGCTGTACATGTTTGTCAATCTGTTATGAAGAGCGAGAATGTCAACTACGTTCCTTACTTTTTTTAAATAACTTTATCTCGCTACTAGTGAGCAACCATGATGTAAATCCAAGAATATACTACTTAAAAACCTTTGACGATAGTTCAATTCCAAAGATTCCGATATTTTGAATGAAGAACATTTCTTCATTTCAATAGATTATAATTCCGAGACGATTGGAAATATTCGGTTGCTAATGGAGAACAATCAAAGTCTCATTATACTCAAGTGTTGTACCCGTAAAGATGTTCTTTCAATATCATACATTAGTGAATTAAAAAGAAACACATGATCAAAACTGAAATGAGGAGACAAAAGTACAACACAAAAGCTTTTTACACTCAAGATCCTTTTGAACAAAGCTACTGATAGGGAGCGAGTTACACAACGAATGAAATCATTATTTCTATGAACCCTGTTATGTGTTTTGGTCGCCGTTTTCTATGCAAAAGAATGTAGAAAACTCAAATTGTTAACTTTGGAATAATAGTGTTCGCAGAAATTCATAAGGATTTTACCTAAATTTATGACTTCTGTACTGTCAAAACTAAGATTACTGGAAAATAGTTAAAATTCTCATATTGTTCAAAAAACATATTCGGAAAAGAAAATTATCTGAAAATTTAATACGGAAATTTGAAAGCGTTTCTTCCTTAAAAAAATGGTATCTACCAAAATATTAAAAATTTGTGCACCGTGTCATTTTCCAGCAATAGTATTTGTCATTCGGAATCAAACTTTAATATAGTTAATTTACACGATGAACTTTCACTTATAAACAGAGAATACTTGAGGCAAACCGACATTTAGTGTTATGGTTATAATCAATAACATGTGAAACTTTTGTATACTGGATACATGGATTGAAAATGTTTGAAACTTTTTTAAACGAGCAGTTTATATTTGTTTATTCGATAATCCGAATGCTTTTGTCTTCGTCTGAGACGCGTTTTCAATCCATTATGTGAAACATGATGCTCAAAAACAGAATGACGTGAAAATCGAGTGGAAAAAAATACTATTTAGTTTCATTGTTTGAAAGATTTTTGTGTAGATTTTCGAATGAATGGGTTTTATAAAGATAATCTCGGCACAAGTTCTGAGAAAGGTTCAAGGTACATTTAGACTCCTGTCCAGGGAAATTTCCTCTATACATCAGTAATTTTTAGTAACTCATCCAAATGATAGAATGTGTTTCCAGTAGTTGCTGAAATTTTCATTAAATTGATATCAATATATCAATAACTATTGTCAACACTCAGAATCTGCTCCTCTCTCTAGGTTCTCTATACATGTATAGTCCAATAACTTTATAAGTTTTCCTTTACCATTGAGAATTGTTGGAAATTTTACGTAATATTTGTGTAGTATTTCACTGATTGTCAGAAAACTCTTTAGAAATGTCATAGAATGATGGCTGTCTGCGTAGATGTTTCATATTATCGCTATTTTCATATTGTTTGTAGTTTTGGAAATTAAAAAATGTATTATTTTTGTTTAATACTATAATAGTAATTTAAAAATTCAGTAATGAGTAACTTTTATTTTAGAGAAAAGTAGTTACGTTATGATCGGTTTCTTAATTCCTAAGTTCCTGTTTGATCACTTTCTTCTCCAAATATTCGTTAGTGATGATATGAGTCTTATCACATGTCCTTAAACATCTCGTAGACTGAAAACAACTAGTATGCAGCTACAATATTGAATATTAAAGATATTAATTTGGAAATGAATTTCTAATTAATTGATTCTTGAATTTATTTTTTGTACAGATCCATCGGGAAAGATTGATCATTCATGTTAAGTTTTCTTTTTATGTTGGTAGAAAAATTAAATCCATGACATTTACACATGCAAAAGTCTATCGCGCCAGCTTCTATCTTGTCAATGTCTTAAGGAAGATCCGCTTATGTCTATCATAAAGAAGTTTTGATTTTCGTTCCTGTTTTGGATCATTCGGAACGCAACATAAGTTTAAAGATTTGATTACACAACAAACAATTAGTATGAAAAAAAGTTCTGATGAAGAAAAATTTTGTGAGTACGAACTTGTCGAAATCTTACTCTTCAATTGATGAAGAGTCACTCTCTACATTGACCACGTCTTTGTAGAAAAATTTGATTTATTGGAAAAAGTTTATTTTCAAAAAAAATAACAAACACATAAAGGGGTCTAATATTAAAATTTATCTGGTGTTTTAAAGCAAATATTATTAAATTGTCTGAACTTACAATTTTCATGAAACTCACTACAAATTTCATTTTACTTTTCCTTTGAAGACTAATGTCAGAACGTTTTCAAAGATTTCAAAGCTCAGCAAAGATTTGCGAATAGAAAAATCAAAACATTTAAAATTAGATATGTTAGGCATTAATTATGCAACATGTTAGTTTTCTACGATCCTGTTTTTGTATAGAGCTATTTAGCGAAGGTCATGACTAATGTTATGCGACCAAACAAAGAAACAATAGGATTTTCGAGAAATTTGAATTTATACTCGCTATCTAAGCAAATAATATCGAGCAAACTTTCAGACAGTTAAACTGTATTCTACATCACAATTCTAAGCATTGTACTGATCAGTTAATTTCATAAAATCACTGTCACCTATTCTTTTTGAAGAATCCAATATTATTTCTGTCAGACTATACTGAATCTTATAGAAAGTACGTGCCATTATTCTATTCCAAGGTCAATATAAATATCATCCTATGTAACAGGGAAATTCATATAAATTCAATAAAATTTCTATTCATTTCAGTTCTAATGCTCAATTGTCGGGAGCTTTACCAACACAAACAGATGGCTCACATAATGTTGCACCAGGAGATATTCAACAATGCGCCAAACCAATAGACGAAGGCCAATGGCATGAGAAACAAAATAAGCCTCCGAATACTGACAATTCGTTTTGTTGTTCCGTGTGTAACAATAAGTTCTCCACGGATGATGGTCGACTTCAGCACGAAAGAGACAAGCATAACATCGAAGAGCTAATTAATCTTGTTAGTTTGACAACGAAAGATCATTTGAACCGTCACCGTGAGTCAAAAGGCTCCGAGAACCAATCAAATATTGATCTTATTACATTTGATGATGATAGTGACGGTTGTGACACATCACAATCGAGTTTACCAGCGACAATAAGGAAAACTGGCAGTCCCATCCAACTTGATGATGATGACAACAGCGCTGGCGAATATTGTGCTGATTGCCATGATGATTCTTTCAAAAAGTAGATCAAAGACCAATGCCAGGTTCTAGAGAATCGCTAGAACAACTAAAAACTGGCAGAAATCGATTCGTTCAGAAAATGTAATAGTAAATCTCTCCTTGTAATAAAAAGTCCTATAATTTCTTCATATATTCGAGCGTGTAAAATGTTTGATGGCTTTTTTATTACGGAGAGGTTTTCTAATACTGATTTCGTGAAGAATTTTTGAAAATTTTTAAGAAAAGCTATTTGATATCTTATATTGCTGTTTTGACAAAATTTGATTTGTTTTGTAAACGTGTATTTATGATGTTAAATAGGGTGTGGGT